AGCTTTTTCATAGGCTCTCCTAAGTCCTCATCAGGAGGTGACATGGATTCAAGATTAGAATGAAACTCAAATTCCATACTCCATGCTTCAGGATCATCTTCAGGAAATGAAGGATATGTATTTAAAAGGGAGTCATCTGTTCACCAGCAAAAATATTGGTGTTGAAGTTTTCACTTTTTATTTTTCCTGAATGGGCAAAACCTTCTTGTTCTGGAAATTACTTTAAATATATAAAGATGAGTTTTATTTGTTTATACTCAAGAATATTATTTTAACTGTGTAAAGGTATGTTACATTTGTTTTGCTTCATTTGTTTAATTATATAAGGATGCATTGCATTTGTTTCATATTGCCTGCTTAGAGCACCTCATTGGTCTAATAAATAGCTGAATGTCTAATAGCTAGGCAGAGAAAAGAGGGCTAGTGTGCAGAAAGAATAAATAGGAGTAGAAATATAAGCTTGAGAGAACAAGAATGAAGAAAAGGAGGACAAGAGAATGAGGGATAGGGGGAAATGCCTGGGGTCAGCCAGGCAAGCTGGGAGCCCCCAGCCAGACAGATATAGGAAAAGAAGGAAAAGTAGGACATACAGAAAGGAAAGGTAAAAATCCCTGAGGCAAAATACTGGTGAAGAGAAACAGAATAAAATAAGAGCTATAGTCACAAGGGGCAGGTCATGGACTCCAGTCTGATAGCTGAAAAATCTGCATAGGACCAACCCAGATTCCCTGAATGTGGTGTTAGTTGGGAGGACTGAGCAGTCTATGGGGCTTCTGGTAGTAAACCGTTATTTATCCCTATTGTATGAATGGACTTTGGGAACCGATTCCACATAGAGAGATGCTCCCTCAGCCTAGACACATGGGGGAGGATTTAGGCACTGCTCCAAATGATATGACAGACTTTGAAGACTCCCCATTGAAGGCCTCACCCTCCCTGGGGAGCAGAAAGGGGATGCAGGTGGTAGGTGGTGGGAGGAACAGGGGAAGAGGGGAAGACGGGAGGGTCCAGGAAGTGGGATTAATTCTAATTTAAATATAAAAGTAAAATAAGAGCTATGATAAGGGAAAAATATTTATAGCTAAGATCAAGTCTCCTAGTAATGATTTGGGAGCTGGTTGGATGCAAAAATGAAAAACACTGGTAAACCTTCTCATTTTTTTCTTTTACCAATTTTAATGTTTGATTATCCAGTTTATATTCATTCAAGGTATTAACTATCTCTTTTCAGTGATTAGTATCCTCCTTATCTTCCTTAAATATTTAGATAACAAAACAAAAAAAAAATGCCCATGTGACCCCAAATTGAAGTTTTCACATTATTTATATTCTTTTTAATATTCTTTCAGACTATCCCATACTTCTTTATCAAAATTTCTTTCTTCTGTATACCAGGGATTGCCATCTTAAATAGCTTGCAAGCAATCTAATATTTGAGAGTTTGATACTTGTGCTCCTTCTTATTTTAAAAAGTGATATACAAGCTCAACATAAGGCAAAGCCTTCCATAGTTTCTATTTCATTATTCTCACTCACCTCCTTCTGTAAGCGTCCCTTTTCTCATATTTTCTAGTTGATTTTCAGGGCCTGAGTCATGACACCATTTATTTACCATTCTAAGGGCAGTGGAACCTGGCAAAATGGAGCGAAAGAATGAGACAGACTAAAGTTTCAGGCAATATCCAACTTCATACAGAACACCAGACATTCTACACACTGAAGGCTAAGAAAGATCACCTGAGTAAAGTTCTCATGAGCTCAATCTGTATATAATCACAAGGACAAGCCACATGTGGCAAAAAAAAACATTTTTCTCAATAGAGGCATATAAATACATAACAAAAGCCAATTGGAATGTATAATTTAAGTAAACTCACTTCCATTTGCTACACTTGGAAGGGACAGGAAAGCACATTCACATTTGAAGAGCAATCCCATATTTTTGAAGAAACTGGCGTCATAAGGCTCTTGTTTTTTTTTTTTTTTTTTTGTTTTTTTTGTTTTGTTTTGTTTTGTTGTTTTTTTTTTTTTTTTGGAGTGTTCCCACAAGCACTCAGAAGTCCCTTCATGTGACTCCATTCTTGGATCATGTTCTGACACACCCCACTTTTCTACTCTCCCACTGCTAGCTACCCAACACCTCTTCTAACAAATATCCTTCTCACTTAGTCCTCTCTCTCAGTGTCTGTTTGACTCTGTCTCTCTCTGTATATGTATGTGTGTGTGTGTGCGTGCATGTATGTATGTGTGTATTTTGTTCCACTAAATATGACTAGTACCTCCTGCATGGGAACATTGTGGAACAATCTACTGGAGCATGAGCAACCTTCCAATAGCATGGGAGAGTATTATTCACCCTCACCTACCAACCACTAGTTGTTCAAAGCTCCCTAGGAAGGGCCCCAGAACCCCTCTTGTATCCTAAGTGGAAGCTCACAGACCCAATTTACACAGATTATATTACAAGAATAATGCTTTATTAAAATAATTATTATTGATAGATATAACATGAGAAAGTTGGTATCCATTACAAAGCCATGTAAATATCATGGAATGAAAATTTTGTTAAATGTATCAATTGTCAGCTTTTATATTTATCTTGGGGTATACATTTCAGTGGAAGAAATCTGTAGTTATCTTGTTATACTTTGCTCAGTGTGTAAAGAAAAAAATAAATGAGAGTGTTGGAAAGGAAGAATGTCTTCTTTATCTAAAACAGGGCAGGTTTGGGTTTTAATGAAATTTATAGTCCTCCATTCACTTCAAGTTTAGTGCTCCATTAAAATGACAATCCAGCATTAAGAGCTACTTTTACTATGTCAAGTGTAATAAATGCCACTGACTCTGGTTCAAAATAATTCATTTTAAAAGTGAAATGTGCATGTAATTTAGGTAGGCTACTGTTGATTCAAAAGCCATGGATCTCACTTCAAAGGGAATAAGAAATGTTTTCTCTGTAGCCAAATGTGAGTGACCATGGCCTGGGGAACATAGAAATAGGCAGGTTATTCCTGGATCCATTTTCCCACATAGAAGCAGTTTTGTGAAGTATTATAGTATAAAGCAAAGAAAGCCAGAAATCAAGTCAAGAGTAAAATACTGTAACAGGTACATCTAGTAAGCAGGTTACAACAAGATACAGTAATCTCCCCTATAAGCTTCAAGTGCTATCTTGTCAGTCTTAGCTTTGGGGTGGGTGAAGCTAGTATTCTGCTAATTTAATACATCTTAAAAAGTTTTTATTCATTTTATCTATTAATAACAGGATGTTAGTTATGACACAGAGGTGGACAAGGACGAAATATTCAGGTGGCTGAAACTAGCACAACATAAGGTAATTAGGCTCTTAACCTGCAACATTGGAACCTATTAACATAATTGCAGTTCTAATCAATTAATCCATGCTTCCAGACATAGCTTCTTTCCAAAAACATTCTTTCACAGTACATAGAATTGTATTGGTAATGCATAGCACACACGAATAATTCATGTGCAAATGAAAAATGTGGTTGCATTATTCTACTTTTAAAGTAATTTGATCTTGATAGGAATATGCTCTTTTTTGAATAATTAATTTTCCCATTTTTTTTTACAAAGTATAGCTATTCACTACACCAAAATGTTTTGTAAGTTGAATCCAGGGAGAATGGGTAGTTGTTGGAGTGCCTGTAAATAGATATTTCTTGTTCCTGATCTGAGATAGGAACTATTCTACTTCTATCAAAGAGTTACTATCAAAAAATTACTTGCAAGCACAATACCTTTCTGGCAGTTTTATTAATATACAACAAATACTCTTTATGATAAGGACATATTTGACCAAAGTACTTGTTATATACTTGTAGTTATTCTAATAATAACTAGGCAAACAATCTCTCTCAAAAATCAGGTGTTGAGCACTTGTATGTTTCACCATACCCTGCTGTGTATGATCAGATTATAGTAATTTGAGTTTACAGGCTCTACCCTTGTGAACTGAGAGAAACATGTGGGAACAGTGTACAGAGCAATCTGAAGATGCAAGACATGTACACACACCAGTGCCAGGAGATACCAGGATAGAAGAGGGGAGACAGGAATGCCCATTTATCAAAAGCAGCTCTGAGGAAGGTTGCCTAGGCGGTGACTGACACAAGACATTGAATAATTGATAAACCACCCCAGTGTTCAACAAATGTTCCAACAAAAAATCTTCTGTAATGTTTAACCTCACTTCCTTCAGTTTCAATTATTCAGTTCCCTTATTTTGTTGTTTCTTCAAGAGCTAGATAGAAGTCAGTAACAAAACACTTTATATTCATAAACCTAAAAGAGTGTTTGTTTTCCTCTGCCAGGCTTCAGTTTCTCATAGGCAATGGAAAAATAAATGATACAAAAATGATGTAATTACTCTTCAAAAGATATCTTTAATTTGACTGTTTAAAAGGTGATAAGCTTTGGAAAGTTTCTTTGGAAAGAAACTTCAACAGTGACATGAAAATAGTTATTTGGTTTCTCTCACATATACACTCATGAGTAGAAAGAGATTGTGCGTGCGTGTGTGTGTGTGTGTGTGTGTGTGTGTGTGTGTGTGTGTGTGTGTTGAGAGAGCATGAAAGAGAATTTGGATCTAAAGTTCAAAACAAAAACATATAAAATAAGGAGTCTGTAAGGTAGAATTAACATTAACATCATGAGGATTATTGATTTTAAACTGGGTGTTTATATGTATTAATTATAGTGATAAAGTATACTTCTCATTATTGCATTTTGTTTTTTAATATATACATATATATATATATATATATATATATATATATATATATATATATATATATAGTCTGTGTTTGTCCACTATTTTACCATAATAGAATTCAAGATTTTGGATCAGTTTAATGTTGCTGTGTTCTGTGTAGAAATTGATCTTCAATACATGTGGAGTCTCCAAGGGTATATTTAAATTTAGTAATTTTATTACTAACTGTGAAGTTAATCTGCACTGTATGCATTCTTTCCCCCAGGAAATTGAAGGAACAGTTCAAGCTAAACAACTGGATGTGGAAAGGCTTTTGTCTAAAGGGCAGCATTTGTATAAGGAAAAACCAAGCACTCAGCCAGTGAAGGTAATGAAGCAACCTCTAGCAATATGTATTACCTCATAATGGGTTATATGTCCCCTGTTGTACACTTGCCATCAAAAATATCTATGTATAGTCATTGAAATAACTTGTAAGGAAATATTAGCCATAGTACAATTGCAGAGGCAAAGCTGTCTTTTTGATCAACATATCCTATTTATATATTGTGATCTTAAGCCTATTAAAAAGTCATTGTATTGAAGGATTTATTTCTGCCCCAGTGTGGTACCATCAATACATAAAGTAGTACCACCTTCAAGGTAGATTAAATTCTTTGGGGCTTTATTGCTTTGCTTGCCAGCCTTGATACTCTTCATACTGTTTGGTGTAATTTAAAGCAAGCCATTGTATCACAACATCTTCAACAGCTATAAAGAATCACAATATTATCTATGATCTTTCCCTGCTCTGTTTCTCTTTAAGAAAGAAAGAAAGAATGAAAGAAAGAAAGAACAAGCGAAAGAAAGAAAGAAAGGAAGGCAGGAAGGAAGGAAGAAAGAAAGAAAGAAAGAAAGAAAGAAAGAAAGAAAGAAAGAAAGAAAGAAAGGAAAACATACATCCAGGTTTTAGTACTTTTTAAGGTCAGGAACTTTTAGTGACATGTCATGTAATTTCATCTTTAAGTTAAAAGCTGACCTGAGTGAAAGCTTTCTACTGCCTTTCTGCTGTGTGTAATTTTAAAGTCCAGGGTACATTTAATCACAGAATCTTACATGAGAAGAGAAATAGAAAGCTAGGTCAGTTTCAAAGAAACACCTGGTCAATGGTTTGCATTTGCAAATGAGAAGTCAGTAATAACTGATATACAGACATTAGGTAGAGTTTAACATATTCTATGTGTTTGACCAAACTTGTAATTGTTTCCACTGTGATAAACGTTCCTGGGATCCTGTAAATGGTGGCTATTTATTGATCAGTTTTGGTTTCTCAGCTAATGTTGCAGGGTGAGATTTAGGGAGCTTTACTCTCACTTTTAAAACCATCCTAAAACTGTGTGGTTCAATAAACTCATTATACAGAAACAGTTTGTCCTTGCAAATAGCATTGCCAGATTCTACACTCTGTAAGCTTATTGCTTAGTTTCATTGTATTTGAGCCAAGGTTTAGTCCTCCAGAATTGCTTGTTTTCCTCACAGATTACATAGGAGTTTTCATTAGATAAATTTAAAATTGGGTTTTGAACATAATGACAAAACACCAATTGCAAATAAGCACAGATTTCTCTGAGAATGTTAAAGTTCATTTATTCGATGATAAACTTATATCTAATCCAGAAGTAAAGGAAAATAATTTACATACATTTTAAGGTTTTATATGATCCTTTAAAAATAAAATAAGTATTTTAGGGGCTTAGTCCACACACTTAGAGGTAGTACTGAGAGCAGCAATTTCAAAAAGGCATACAGCTTAGTTATCAAAGTGGTAAAATCACCAGTGTGATCACCACAGAGACCCTCATTCCAGTGATCCATGAAATAAACAAGTGGACCTAGTAGATAAATGTGGGAGTTCCTGCAGGTGACATATAGGGAAGTGAAACCACACAAAGAGATACAAATGAAAACCCAGTGCAGATTGACTTCATCAACCTGAATCAGAATATGTGAAATCTAATATCAGGTAGCTCTTGGATGACAAATTTAAAACACTAGTACAGTTCAGGAAAAGTTTTCCAGGCAACAATCAGTTCAATTTTAGGTATACAATAAGCTTAATGTGTGACTATGTAGAGATTCTTTTACATAGTGCATGTGACCATGACAGTGGATTATATAGCTATAAGGCCTAGAATCTAGTATGGTCTCTGACCAATACCCATAACACAGTGGTCAGCTGTCAATAAAGTGCATGTGGCATCTCTGCTAAGGATGGGTAATGGTCTAGGGAGGGAAGAGTCTGGGACAATTATTCTGAATAATTATGGTAAGGCCACCTCTATAGAAAAAAAAAATGTGTCCATGTAGTTAACAAACTCCACTCTCAGCCTTCTGGATGGAATGCAGGCATTTGATTTCTGTCTCCTCCATTGAGGAGACACCCCTGCATGATTAATATTCTTGATTCTCTTAGTGATTTTCTGTAAGAGGACCAATGTGTCTGTAACAGACTAAGTCCATTCTATCTATTCTTGATGGATCCACAAAAACTTAATGCCATATGGTTTTGGCAATGAGTTGAGGTTTAACATCCTTTCATATAATTCAGAAATGTGCATTTATTATTGCTTTACTTTCTCTTTTTATATAATACATAGAAAAAATCCTTCCAACAAATCTGCTTTTCATATATACAATAATCAAAGCAGTGATACTTAACCTAATCTCACTTCAATCTATACACTCAATCCCAAGTTTACTTTGAGGTAAGAACTGGCCTCTATCCAGTTTCCTTTGCAAAATAAATAGAGGATTGACACAAAAGAAAAAAAATGCTATACAAATTGTCTCCACCCCACACTTTTCTTAAAGCCATCTTGTAAGTGAATATTACATTTTTATTCTCACTTTTCTTGCTTTCCCATTTCCTGTATATTTGGCTTATTTGGAATAGGTGTAACTTGAGTAAAAACATGTCTACAGTCCCCTGATTTGTAGATAAAGCAGAATATCAGGTTAATAGGTATAATGGTGATGATTGATTAGGAGGTATCAGATACAGAGAAATGGTTGACTCACAACATTTTTTTTTGTTTTGTTTTACAATACTAGGTATGGAACACTCAAGGCACTATACATGTTAGACAAGTACTCTAAATAGAGCCACACCTCCTTATGTGAACCATGACATAGCTACAGACTTAAAATAATAAATCCAGAAAACTGAAAGATGGGTTACGTATATTTCACCTGCTTAAATATAAAACAAAAACTGGCTTCTGTATAACACACAGTCTATATTTGTATTAACACAGACATGTATGATACCTTAGAACGTTTATGTGTTTTCAGAGGAAGCAGACCAGACATCAATGAAAATGGGTGGTGCAGGTGCTTAAGCCTCTCAAGATGCCTCTGATTCTTTTTCCTCAGAGTTCTGTATCAAGAAAGCTTCAAAGTTACTGACTAAGATGGTCCAGCCTAAAAGATTCTCCTAGCCAGGACATGACCATTATTCTAATTTTTCCTGAGTTCTTTACACATATCACCATTCCCAGTAAAGAGGAAGCAGTCTAGAGAATACAACATTCACATTTCCAAGAGGTTGGATGGTTGGGGTTTGGTCACCCAGTGAATTTTGGTTTATTGACATTGTTTGGGGGGTACTACAAGTTGTTATTGGTCATGGTCAGGAAAAACACCTGAACAGAGCAGATTAGAGTCTGTGACCTTGTTTTGAAAAGGAAAAAGGGAGTTTATAGAAATAATAGGATATAATATTGATTTTTAAATACCTTTTAAATTAAAAAGCAACTATTAGTTTTAAATATTTTACATTGGTATAGATTTTTGTATATAGATACAAATTTAAGTTTCTTTTTGTATATTGTATATGTTTCTACTCTATGGTATTTTTGTATATTGATACAAATTGAAGATTTATTTTGTTAAAGCATAAGGTACATAAATCTCTACTTTTTAAGGTTTTCTACCTATGCAGCTCCTTTAACATTATAATTTAAATTTCTCAGTCCTTGAAAGTTATTATGACAAACTGTTTAGGATAATAAAGAAATCCAAGTTAATAGTCTCCTATAATTAACTTGCAGTCTTATTATGTATGTTTTCAAAGTCAAACAAAGATATATTTTAGATAGATAGATGATCTTCAAACATTTCAAAGACCCATGGAATATGGCATTTAAAATATTTTCTTAACATAGGGATTTTCATGACAATGAAACATAACTTCTGGAAGCACCAATTTCTTTCAGAGAAGATGATAGGTAACAAAGAAACTCCATAAGGAGTTTGCTTTCCAGTGACAAAATTAGTCTTTAAAGCAGGGAACTGTTCTTTTTTTTTTTTTTTTTTTTTTTTTTTTTGACTGATGATATACAAACTGGACAGGCAGAACACAAAGAGAAAAGACTATTGAACTTTGCCAAGATAATGTGAGACTATCCTTTAAAATTGCTGCTTCATAGGGAAGACTGTGTAGTATTATACAGAACATACTGGAAAGGGATTGCTAAACTTTGCCAAGACTAGGTAGGACAGTCCTTCAGAACTCCAGCTTCATTAAAAAATTCTGTCAGATATTCTAAGCATGTAGGAAAAAGATGGACTTCCCAATGTTGCAGGTGAACCTTGGGTGACTGTTCAGTTAGGTTTGGAAGTTAACTTACCTGCACTTCCTGTTTAGTCAGGTAATAGTATAACCTTCTTGGTTTTCCAAGGTTATGGTGGAATGTAATTAGGTACAGAGATTTGGACTCATCAAGATAGAATAAATAATGGAGTATTTTCCCCAAATATGTCAAATACAAATGGATTGGACATTGTAAATGTAATTCTTACCTGATAATTTTTCTTATTTTATATGGTTTTACTATGTTAGAGTTAAAACCTTTCCTTTTTAGATAAAAAAGAGGAAATATTGGTAAATAATATTTTTGTACACTGTGAATAAGTGTCCCTCATATTAGTTTAATAAAAAGTTAAACAGCCCACAGGTAGGCAGGATTTCTAGGGCAAAGAGAACCCTGAGAAGAAGACAGAATCACCAGCCAGAAAGGGAGGAATCAGGAAAACAACATGGGCAATATAGAAGTTAAGGTAATAAATTCATAAGGGAAAAGGTAAATTAATAGAAATGTGTTATAATAGTTAGTAGTAACAAGCCTAAGCTACCAAACAAGCTTTCCAATGTAATATTATGTTTCCGCATTATGATTTGTGAACTTGCAGGAGAGACATAAAGGCTCCCCAAATAAGATACTTTATATCAAAATTATATAATCATATAGTTCATATTATTTTGTAAGTTTTTTATGTTTTTACAATATGGTACACTTGGAATACCCATATGATTCTGTTAAAGCCACTGAGTTTAGTTCAACTGCCTTTGGACTGGCTGTTCCCAATTAATGATATAGAGTCTTATTAACTATAAAAGCTGGGTCTTAACTTAAGCTTGTTTTCAACTAGCTCTTAAAACTCAAATTAAACCATTTATATTAATTTAAGTTCTGCCATACCATACATCCTATTTCCCCTGCATCTCACTGGTGCCTATCTGACTCTGATTCTTGCCTCGACTTCCTTTCCTGCCTTTCTATTGACTATTCAGCACTTTATTAAAAAAATCAGAAGATGCTTTAGGCTGATGATTTAAGACAAATACATCTTCACAGTATCGAAAAACATCATCCCACAACATTTTCTCCTTTTTGTCCAAATAAAAAGGAAATGTTTTAACTCTAACACAGTAAAACTATATACAATAACAACAATTATGTTAAGTTCATTGGTATTTGGCAACTTTAGAGAAAATATTCAGTTATCTATCCTATCCTGATGAATCTAAAGTTTTATGCCTATATAGTTTTCTATTATGACTTGTATTACCAAGCTAAAAATATTATTTCAGGCTTTAAAACATTTGATAAACAACTTAAGGTTTTGTGTTTCTCAACTTTTATAAACTTTGTATCACTTTTTTAAGTTTCTTTTCTGAATTTGGTAACAAGAAAATCTGTAAAACTATAATTTTTCAACACCATCACATATCTGAGAAGTATAAAGTAGTACCGAAATAAACAGGAAATGAAGAAGAAATAACTTCCCAAACTTAAGAAATGGCAGAGACAAATGCTTGCCTGGACAGTAACCAAAGGTTCCTTTGCAATTGTGAGGCATCAGTCTTTGAGCTACAGGCCTAAAATAATCTGATAGACTTTTTTTTTTATATAAAGCAGAAATTTTGAAGGACTGGTCTATCTTGTTTTGACAAATTTGGCAGTTGACTTGGTTTGTGTTGTTTTTGTCCAATTTGGACAGCATACTCTCAACAGTCAAAACAAGTGCAGTTTCTTGCTCAAATGGCTAGTTTTGTCATATTGAAAGCAAATTTCACATAGAGTTTCTTTGATTCCTGTCGTCTTCACTGATGACAGTGCTGACAGGAATAGACATATCTCACTGTCATGAAAAACCTTATAATATTAAAACATTTTAAATGTCATATTCTTTAGATCTCTGAATGCTTGATGATCACATATCAATCTATCTTAAATATAATCTTGTTTGTACCTTGAAAATATACCTAACATGACTACATGTTTTATTGCTATAGATGACTAACTACTAACATACATTTCTTAATTATCCTAAATAGTTTATAATACTAGCTTGCAAGGACTAGAACTTTCTATTACATCATCAGTAAGCTGCATAGGTATGATACCTTAAATAAGAGCACAAACATATATTACAGAATGTTATAACAAAAGTAAACTTCAGTCTGAATCAATATACAAAAATCCATAACAATGTATAATATTTGAGACCAACAGTTAGGTTTATATTTTTGTTTGTTTGTTTAAAAGTATATCTGATTATCTACTCATTTATCCTTTCATTCTTATATGCTCTGTTTTTTCATTAGATAAGAGAGGAAAAGGGATAGAGAAAGGAAAAAGAAACAAACCCTTAATCCAACGTTTGTTTAGTTTCCTCCCTGACCACAACCAATAACAACTAATCCCTCTAAGTGATGATGGATATCCATAATACACAAAATGACCAAAACCATGTATCCTACCCCTTGGGAATGTGGACATAGTGTTCATAAATTATTTCCTGTTGTCTTGGGGTGATGCCATCCTTGGGATCCTGAGAAATTTGGAATAATGGTCAAGTCCTGGGAAAGCTAGCATGGGAAAGTGCAGGGCTTAACTGAAGTTCTGGCTGGAGTAGTCTATGAGGATGGTTCATCTCAGTTAACAGCTTTGAAGTTGTTCTAGATGCAGATTTTTATGGAAACTACAACAGAGTCATCCTGAAAAGTTGTATCACCTAGGCTACTTGTCTTCATTGATGTCTTGTCCTTTTTTTCTGAAAACACACATTTTAAAGGTAAAACACTATGCATTGTGAACTGTGCACAAATTAGCTACAGATGATTTTTTTTCTGTGTTTGATCAGGTAAAAGTGATCCATCAACTTTGTATATCTGTTTGGACTATGTAATCAAACTGTAATAAAAACCCTATCCTTGCCATATGAAAGAATGACACATAATAATATGTTACAAGGACTCTGTAGACAAGATGATATATCATGTCTCATCCAGTCTCAGAGTTGTTCCCATGTCAAGGGATCATCATATATGTCACCTGTCTTGTAATTTTTCTTGGTTTATTCATTGATATCTGCAAATAAGATTTTCAGGAAGTCTCTCTTGGTCAAATGTGATCTTTATTAATTTCAAAGGAATCCATAGATTTTCATTTCCTTTAGAAACAAAGGCATATGAACACTCTCAAATGCAATAAATTTCTTGAATTTCTTCTGAAGTTAAGACATTCTTAAAATATATAGGCTGATTTAATGTAGCTTTTTCCCACAATTCAATGTCAATCAGCAGCTATTGATTTTGCTCATTAGCATTTTAAAATTTAAAGTTAGTAAAACACTATATAGGATCTAGATGCCTTGTGTTATGGTATTTCCTATCCTTATGTGGCTTTTTTTTCTATTTTATTTTACTTTCTCTCTAAAATCTTCACTTTATTACATTTAAGCTATTTTTCTATGACTGTCTATATCCATTTTCTTTTCTTTCTTCAGCATCTAGTCGCATTTTTAAGCATATGGTATCTATTTAAATATTATTGTTTTCAGTCTGTATCTGGCTTTCTACATGCTTTGGCTCAGTAATAGGTTGAGAAGCATGTCTGTCCACCTGCAGACACCTGTTGTGGCTCTGCTTAGCACATGGCATTGTCAGCTGGCTCTATTTCCCTTGGCTCTGTGAGAGACTAGCCTTCTGCCTGCAGGCACATGCCAGCAGCTGCATTAACTGCCCCATCTCTAGAAAGTTGTTTGGGCCTTGCTCTGACAGGCATTGCCATCTAGACCACTGTCCAACAGTGTGCAAGCCTCCATATTACCCAACTATATTTGGGCATTGGACACAGAGACTATTATTAAGTACAAACTCTTGGCTTTAGCTTAGGCTTGTTCCCAATAATCTCTTACAAGTTAAATTAACTTCATTATATTAATCTACATTCAGCCACATGGATTGTAACCTTTCCTCCATACTGTACATTCAACCTCCTTTGCATTTAACTGGCAATTCTCTATTTCTCAGATTCTTCCCCCACATTTCTCTTTCTACCTGTAAGCCCTCCCTATCCTCGCTTGCCTAACTAAACCAATCAGAGGCAGATGAGTTAAAACAGACACATCAATGGTGTACAAAAAAGATTATACTGTAACACACAGGTGAAAACATTGCTCAGTGGTTGAACACTTACTTAATAAGAAAGTAGGCTAAGTTCCACCACCTGAACATGCAAACAGAAAATCCTTCCAACTGAAGACTATAGGTAACACACCAGAAGTAAAAATTAGAACACTTTAGCTTATCAGAAGAGGAGAAAACAATTCAAAAAGATTATATGCCATCTTTATCAAAACACGTTTAATCTTAAGAAGGATGAGCAAAGTGGAAGCATGTTGAAATTACATACTGTCAAGAAGCAGTCAAATTGATTATGAAAGTTAATGAAGAATTTGAGAAGGATTAAGTAGGGCTAAATGGTATTATTGTTCAAGAAGCCATAGTATACACGTTTCTGTGTTGGCAGAGAGGCCTTTTCTCTCTGTGTATTGTTTTAAATCTGTTTAGGGGGTGGCCTTTTCTCTACTTAGCTTGTTTTCTCTGTGTTTGTTTGTTTGCCTGTTTGTCCGTCTGTCTGTTCAACTGGAATTATCATGTCATAGGTAGCTGTCAGTTACAAACAAGATTATTTTCCATGTTCTCAAAGCTATCCCAAACATCTGTACCTGTATACAATATATTTGAAAAGCTGATGTTTTCAGTTTTAACTATTTTTTGTGAGAATAGTACACTTATTTTTTACTTTTAAAATAATCTTTCAAATGAATTTTGACAGTTACTTTTATCACTGGTTATACACTATGAATAATTGCTAATGGTCTATCAACTGTCTCTGTTTAACCAAAATCTCTTATACTCTTCTAATGCCTCTCCAGCATACCTGCTTAAAATAATTTGAGCATATCACTCAAATTCATTTGCTATTCAAAATAATCAATTGAAACAGAAAGTATAATGAATGCTCAAATATGAGCCGAATCACTTTTCAGGAAATAGATGAGTAGAAAGTATCAATTTAGGCTTGCTCAATATCTTACAACTAAACAGCATGTTTGAGATTTTAATTCCATTCTCACAAGACAGGAATATAAAATTTTCAAAATCTTAATTTCATAGTATTTAGAATTATGGTCCATTTATATTTGCTTGTGTTTATGTGTGTGCACTTACTCACATGAGGATGCTCACATTCATATGTGACATTCATATGTGACATTCGTATGTGTACACGTGGAAGCCAAGGCCAGTATTGGGTGTCTTCTTTGTCACTTTCCGAATGGGTTTTGGGAGAAAGGATGTTTCAATGAGCTTATGAGTTGGCCAGAATGACTGGCCAAGTAGCTTAGGGGATATACTTAACTCTTCACAGAGCATCCAGAATCACATGTCCAAGCTTTTCCTTTTTTCTTTCTTTTTTTTAATTTAAAATATAGCCAAAGTAACCAAACTCAGATACTCATCTTTGCATAGCACACACCTTAAAACAATTACTTAGTCATTTTCTAACACCTTCTCTTAAAATTTTATAATGAATGTAAAATGTTCATTTAGATATCACTTTTTATGTGTCTTTAAAAAGAATATACTCACAAAGTGAATAACTGAATGAGTTAAGTTATATTAGAAGTGTTGGTAAGAGCAGTAAAGTATGCTTTTCTATTACAGAGGAAGTTAAAAGAGCTGAGGTCTGAGTGGGAGGCTGTAAACCATTTACTTCGGGAGCTGAGGACAAAGCAGCCTGATCGTGTCCCTGGACTGACCACTGTCAGAGCCTGTAAGTACAATATGTCCCAGGTGTTCACATTCACTTCATCTGTTTGCTGAAAACCATGGCTATCAGTCTATCTCTGAGTGAAAAGGAAAATTGATTTCTGATTTTGCAGAAAGGAGTAACATTTCTGTTATTTAATATGCAAAATTCATTTGGGTGGTTTCCCTGGACAATGAGAGGTTTACAACCTATATTTTCTGAAGATTCAACTTCAAGGAAAAGAAAAGGGCAGGTGAGGAGAAGCCATAATGGCTTAAACAGATACATTAGCTTGTTCTTTAACAGCATTAAGGCTGGCTGGCTTTGTGCAGGCATATTAAATCATCAGTAGAAGGCCTTCCATTTGAATTTCTGCTTCCTTAAAAGCAGGGGACTGGTGGGAGTTGTTTTTAACTAAAGCTGAAGGTTGTTCTTAGTAAGGAAACTCAAAAAATCACCACACCTCTAGAATCTAAGAAGGAATATCAAGGTGACTATTTAATGACTCTGGAGACTTGAAAAAGATGTGCAAGCATTGTAGGTTCTTTTGGAGATTGTTTCCTTTTGTTTGTGTCAACATGGTGCACTGAAATTGCTATCTTGACATTCCAAATTATGCCAGTTTTATTTCCACTTATTAGCTCAAATTTTTGGCTCTCTCTGCATAGATTTACAGCTATCCATATACAATCCTTTATTGGTGTTTATTCTATACATGGTATTGGCATGTGCAATCTCCGAGTCTGTAATGCTATGAAGATACTGCTTTCCAATGATATTTTTATAAACTTGAGGAGTGTGGAACTTAAGGGTTTATATTTACATTTAAGGTACTATAAATATTAAATAAATGATAAAAACTAGAGAACAAAATGTATATAACATGCTGTGTTCCTAAATAGTATGATGAAGTTTCTTACTGGAAATACTATAAAGTTTTTGATTGTAAGAACATATGTAATTAATCTATTTAGTCAACATACATGTAGCAAGTTATGTGTATTAGACATCAGACTAAATACTGAAAATTCATCATCAGTCTCTCATTTTATGAATAACAGTTCAGCCAGAAGACAAAGATGATATGCTAATGAAAAGAAAATGCTCTCAATTATAAGTGAGATGAAGTCTACAGATTAATGCCAAGTGGCTTAGGACAGAAAGGCAGAAAGTGAAGCCTTTAAACTTATCTGAATTTTAGTGGACTATCCATGTGATTCCAGGACATACTGGGATGGGAAAGGGGAAGAAAATGGGGAAGTGAGTGTGAATGAGGGCATTATTGTCTGAAGTACAGTTAGGTAAGCTATTCTGGCATGAAAATATCAGAAAGGTGATGCAAGATAGTGAACAATGTCTGTGTATTGACAGAAATTATGATAGGCAGAACAAAATGTTCACAGCTGGTATACTGAGAAAGGTACTAGAGTAGAAGGGGTGGTAATCACGAAGGGCATTGAACAGGCATCAGAGGTTTCACAAAGAACAAGAAAGAGCAGTGAAGCACCTGCTTGATAGTTCCCCCTCAGTGAGAACTTCAACATTTTCTATGGCGCCTTGTTTTCCCTGCCATTCCCACTCTATTGCTACCAGTGGGGAGTCTGAGCTTATCTACAGTTCTGAGCCACTGGGGAGAATTGGCAATACTAGGTCCAATGTTGGAAAACTAAGAGAGGAATTATCTCCAATAGGAGATTTTCATCTCCTGCAGACAATGGATCAAAAACTGGGTATAAAGTCAGTATACTATAAACACAAATACTGAGTGAAAAGAATCAATAGTGTATCAGAATCTTCTTTTATTCAAAGACAGTTTTTCTCATCTGGTAGTTTAAGCATTAGAATTAAGAATTACTTGTATTCTTGACTGTGTGACACATAATATTTTAATCTAAACTGTACTATTTTTAAAGATCGAATTTATAATATGACTTGATTATATGATTATTATTCCCTATACTTTTTTATAATACAATTTGGTTTATAATTTGCCGTGATGGTTTCCCAAAGCCTGCCTCTTGCATGTATAGTTTCCTTAAGAACACTTAAGCTTTTATCCCCAAAATAATTGTAAAGTATATATGATTATTTACAACATTTTTTAAAAGCAAGAAACCTAAGATATAGTAGGAATATTGCTTGATTAAGGCCACACAGCTACAAAATAAGACAGATAGGATTCTAATCCAATTACATCAATTGGTGTTTTTGTTTCATTACTGTATTTTACACTATTTGTCTGTCCCAGAAAACAGTGGAATTCTAGACAATAGCAGCAAGCAAGTAGTTAATGCTAATTCAATGTGGTCTTAGATTTCTAGGGGATAATAGCAACCTGTATTGCTGTATTTTGAAATCAGTTTTCTCTGAGTTTCTAAGAATCCTAGAATGCTGAGCCCAGAATAATCATTGTCAACTGGCTGAATATTTTCTTTTGCATGTGTGGAGACTGGGGTTCAAATTGGCTTTTGATTTGATTTGATTTGATTTTTTTTTCAAAGTAGCCTTTTGAAAACACTAAAGCAAGCTTCCCTGTGGCTGTTTATTTCCATTATATAGTATGATGCAGTAGTCTGGTTTGAGCTGCAAAAATTGTTCAAATTTACAAGATAAGTGGGCATACTCTTAATACATGTTTGATATGTTTTGGTGTTTCTATATATCTGGGTGTCTCAGTTACCTATTATTGCATAAATCACCCCCAAAATTAATGATCTAAAGCAATTATTACTTACTTGATTTTGATTCTGTGAGTCTCCATTTTGTACTGTGATATCTGGATGGTTATTGTTATCATCCCCCCCTTGTCTAATCTATATGAAAGTATTTATTTGGCATCTCTGGAGCTAGAAGGTCTAAATTGTCTCCTTATATGTCTGAGAGGTGGCTGTTTGCTAGAGATTCTCACTCCTTCATATAGCCCTGCATCATAGGCACATATCCACTGATATGTCTTCACTATATGATGCACTCAACACAGCCTTCCTCTAAGATTGAGAGGGTAGAAGCTTAAAGATTTCATGATGTTTAGACTTTTGAATTATATGTTTCTTCCACTATTCTCTTTGTTGATGTAACTTGAAAGTTCAACCCAGATGAGAGATAGAGTCATGATTACCTCTTAAAGAGTTACATTGTTAACATGCATTCTTGGACAGGAGACTTAATGGCAGCCATCTTTATATATAAAGTACCATATTTTGGGGACCAACAAAAGACACCAGTGATTTGCAAACAGTGTCCTTTGTCTGTGGTTTTTAAATTTTACCTTAAAAAAATAAAACATCAATTTCTTATTAAAGTGCAGAATACAAGCCTTCTACCTAAGACTTTCTGATTCAGTAAATTTTAAGTGAAAGTCCTATATCTAAAAGGTTCAAAAGTGAAGCCAATTGTGTTGATCTTAGGAATTCAGTTTGAACACTGTTGCACCAGGCCTGAGTTGCTTGGGAATGTTTATCTTTCCACCTTCTGCTTTGTATAACTAATTGCGGCTACAAGTGAAATCCAGTGCTATGACTGCCAAAGGAACTTCATTTTATTTCCAGCATTTTCCACTTCTGTCTTTTCTGACCAGGGACTTTGTAGCTTAGTGGTTCAGGGAGGTTTAAAGCATAATACCCAGGCAATAATTACCCACCAGAGTATCTCTGTGTCTTTAGCAGACAGTTATTCAGAGAGTATCAATGCTTGTTTGAAGTTTCTGTAGAGAAGGTGAGGGACATTGATATCCAGATAGACAGAATTTAGCATTGGTCTGAAGGTCAGTATGCAGATGGTAGCAAAGAGGCAGGAAATCTGGTGTTAAATGTCACTGTGAATTGTTTCATATCCACAAGCTGCTGGGCCTCAGAACATTCATGTTCTACAGAACTGCACATAGCATTTTCACAATAAATCACACAGAAAATATTCTTAGTATGAATGTTCCAAATGAGGACATTTAATACAACTGTGTTAGTTCAAGAGCTATCAAATGACCAGGTGATAGAGATGTGTTGCTGACAAAATACTCACAAAACAACTCTTCCTGTAATTAATTTTAGAGGTAGTGGAACTTATAGCAGTCCTGAAAATATGATATCAGAATGAAAATAACCTACATTATAGATGGGTGTGTTTACATACTTGTAAGGCAGAGCCAGCAAGATCTCTGTGAGTCCAAGACCATCCTGGTATACATAGAAAATTATATAATATCCAGGGTGGCATAGAGAGAACATTTCTCACCCTATCCCCTAAGATGTACTAAATTCTAATTTCAGTTAAATAGTAAACACTTAGTGTAGAGAGCCAAATGCATTTTCAGCTTTGCCAGTCATGTGGTCAACTGTGTAAATATATACTAAATATAGCTATACAATAGACATTGCATTAAAAATTCAATGGCTTTGGTCTAATGACACTTTATTACAGAAATAAGGTGGATGTCTTAGAACCTATTCTGTAACCTCTTAATGACATAGCTTCCTCTTACTATAGAAGAAACTTGCTCAATTATAGAATACATTGGAATCCTTGAGGAATAAACATCAGTGGGGCAACATTTAATTACTATTCAGGGAATTTGTAGAATAAATCTTCAATCTTCTTTTCACTTTTGAGTATGACATCTTCTAGCCAATGGCAAGCTCACTGGTGAACTTTTAAGGAAAGGGACAATAGTGCTTCTTTTCAATTGTATGTTCCTTTTCCCTCTTTTATTACAGTTTCCTCTCCCTCTGCTCCTCCAGGTATCTACCCATCTCTCCTTCCTTTCTGTCTTTCTGTTTTGGAAAAGAACAGACTTCTATGAGACAACAATCAAACATAACAAAATAAAGTATAAGATATCATGTATGTACTCGACCATATATGGATTTTAGACCTAGAACAAAGGATAACCAGCCCATAATTCAAACCACCAGAGGAACTAGGATACAAGGTAGTCTAAGAGATTCATATAAAGTCCCTAACAAAAGGGGAAAGGTCCAAGTCCCCCAGAGCACATGGGAAGTGGGGGGGGCAGTGAATGGATAGAGAGC